CAATTCGATTCCATTGATCTATGTGTCTGTCATTGTACCAGTACCATGCTGTCTTTACCACTACGGCAGTGTAGTAGGATTTGAAATCAGGGAGTGAGATACCTCCTACCGTTCTTCTCTTCTTAAGGAGTGCTTTGCTTATTCGGGGCTTTTTTCCATTCCATACGAAACTGGAGATTGCCTTTTCCATCTCGTTTAAGAAAATTTCTGAGCTGTTCATGTAAATATAAATAAAAGTCATAACTCATGATTCTCTAGGGAATCTCCATCATAGTACTACAAGAAACACTTGAAAGAGTTAAATGTTTTTATCCAGCATTTGGTTGTACAAAATGACTCATCAAAACGTAACAATTGGAAATCTCTCAAGATTTGAGTTCATCAGGGATGTGCTATTGGGGGGAAAACCAATTAACACACTCTTTTTTTGCATCCTTCACATTAGTCCTTGTGAATAATGCTCTGTCAGTGCTGCAAAAATAGGCAATGAATGAATGGAAATCCAAATTCTCTGTAAATGTTCATTAAAATTATTTTTAAAAAACCCCAAACTTTGTAAATAGGCCAGTATGAAACAAAAAAAAGAGAGAGAATACATATATAGCATAAAAAAGGTCTATTCTGAAACAGCATGCTGTTATTCTGCATACAAGGAATAGACTATGCAGACAAGTAAGAATTGATGTTGTTGTTGTTGTTATGTGCCATCGAGTCGCTTGTGACTCATAGCAACCATGTGTACAAGAGCCCTAAACACCACTTTAACCTGTGCCAACCTCACTTTCTCAAACACACTCATTCCCACTTCCCCAATCACAGAATCGATCCATCTCATTGAGGGTCTTCCTCTCCTGTCCCGTCCCTCCACTCTCTCAAACATGATGTCCTTCTCCAAGGACCAGTCTTTCCTTACAACATGCCCAAAATTTGTCAGACGAAGCTTCAGAATCCTTGACTCCAAAGAGCATTCCAGCTTCACTCTCTCTAGGACAAACCTGTTTGTTCTCCTAGCGGTCCATGGTATATTCAACACTCATTTCCAACACCACAGCTCAAAGGCATCAATTCTCTTTCTATCATGCCTAGTCAATGCCTAACTCTCTGATGCATAGCATGTAATTATGAAGACTATAGCCTGGATCAGATGCACCTTAGTCTCCAGCCTGACATCATTGGTCTTCAGTACTCTTGAGAGGTCGATCCCTCACAGCTGACTTTCCCAAAGCAATTTGCCTCCTGATTTCCTGGCTGCTGGTACCAAGAGTGTTGACTGTTGAGCCAAGTAAACTAAAACTGTTCACTCTCTCAATCTCTTTACCATCCATACTGATGCTGCCAATTGGCCCAGTGGTGAGAATCTTTGTTTC